CTTAAATAAAGTAGTTATCTACTACAATGCCTTACTTATTGAATACCTTAATAAAGCCTATTCATGACACGCAAATATTTCTAGTAGCATTCTACTATTCTAACACATACTCTACATTCTAACACATATGAATTTGGGAAAAAAAAAACTTTCTTTTTTCAACTTTTATAGAAGAAACTAGGAACAGTAGAAATTCAGACATAATACGAATACTTTCTTTGTGGAATGAATTTGTCTTAGCATTGTATCTCACATTACCTAACAGTTTCAGCTTCCTTTTAACTTCATATACCTTTCCAAGATTTATTTCACATCTTTGAAGGACACAGCGACAGACAAAAAGGCATTTTTCATGAGATGACTCACTCCCCAAACAGCCCCCCTCTGAGCAGGGCTCGGCGAGCTTGAGGCTAGGAGTCTGGCACTCCATCCAGGTCTTCTGGGTCACCTTCCACTGCTTTCCCCACCGAATCAGCAGGGAGCTAAATCAGAAGTGGTGCGGTGTGGACTGGAATAGGTGCTCCAGAGTGCCAACATCACAGGTGGTGGCTGAACCTGCTGAATTAACCTTCGTAGCACAACTTTTCCATCTCTAATGCTTATCTCTAAATATATAATACAGCAATTTATCTCAAACAAGCTCACTGTTCTCATTTCATATGGTATCTCCAACACAGATGACAAAACTAGTAAGAATTTTGGTCAAGCAATCTGGGTAGAAAAAAGTAACATGCTCCGATTTTCTCAAATCATTCTCATATTTTTATATGCCAAACACTCTCACACTTACATAACAAAAAACACTTAAAAATGATTAAAATTAGAAAACAGCATTCATACTATACTCCATTACTGTAGTCAAATTAATGTCAATCAATTGCTCTTTGAAAACTGAAATCCTTTCATGCAGATCTGAACTTTAATAACAAATTTACACTCTTAAATGACATTATTAGCTGCTGATTTTATGTTCAGGCTTGAAATGTTACCCAGATGGTTCTACAATTTACTCTTACATTTCTGGCAGTTTTACCAAAAAGAATTATACAGTTGACCAATAGCAAATAGAAATTTCTTTCTCTAAAATTTTTAGGAAAGGGTAAGAAGTTTAAAGTCATACTATGCAAGTATTAACTAAGATCAGGCTTTCCGGTGAAAGATTATTTCCCTTGATTCTAGTAGTTTGATCGAGTTTCTCAATCTAGTCAGTCCCTACTAAGAGACATGTTAGAGGATCCAAAGTAACCATTTCTTATTTAAAATATGAAACTGAAGCAGCCTAAGGAGTGTATGTAGAACCTATCGGGACTTCAATATCCTTATCTGTAAAACGGAAGAGATAATAACCGCCCCACCTTACCACTTAACACAAAGATTAAATAAGGGACTTTGGGGTCAGTGCTCTGGCACAACAGGTCAAGAAGTGCCACAGTGCTGCAGTGCCTGCAGTAATGGCATTCCACACGGTCACTGTTTTCAGTCCTGGCTATGCCATAATACCCTGCCAATGCTCCCGGAAAGGCAGCAGAAAGCAGTCAAATCCCTGGGTCCCTGCACCCACATGGGAGATGCAGAGGACACTCTTCGCTCCTGCCTTTGGCCAGGCCAAGCCCTGGTCACTGAGGCCATTTGCAGACTAAACCAGCAGATAGAAGATTTCTTTCTCTCTCTCTCTGTCTCTATAACTCTTCCTTTCAAATAAAAATAAATCTCTAAAAAATAGTTTTAAGGGCCCGGCGCGGTGGCGCAAGTGGTTAAAGGTCCTCGCCTTGCACGCCCGGGATCCCATATGGGCGCCGGTTCTAATCCCGGCAGCCCCGCTTCCCTTCCAGCTCCCTGCCTGTGGCCTGGGAAAGCAGTCGAGGACAGCCCAAAGCTTTGGGACCCTGCACCCGCGTGGGAGACCCGGAAGAGGCTCCTGGCTTCGGATCGGCATAGTATCGGCCCGTTGTGCTCACTTGGGGAGTGAATCATCGCACGGAAGATCTTCCTCTCTGTCTCTCCTCTCTGTCTCTCCTCTCTGTATATCTGCCTTTCCAATGAAAAAAATAATAAAAATAAATCTTTAAAAAAATAATAAATAAATAAATAAAAAATAGTTTTAAAAGGTAAATGAGGTGCCTAAAGATGGAAAAGTACTTTCAAATATAAGGCTACTTTTAATAACTAAAAAAAAAAAAGTGACACAATAAAATTACTCTTCCCTTGATCTTAGCCAAAAGGCCGAGAAGCAATTATTCTCTGCAGGAGCACTTTAACAAGATTTGATTGTTCCCTTACACAATTTTTTTTTTTTTAAGATTTACTTAGTAGATGAAAGTCAGAGGAGGGAGAGACTGAGAGAAAGAGATCTTCTATTCATTAGTTCCCTACACAGACATCTGGAACGGTTAGCACTGGGCCAGAGCAAAGCCAAGGGTCAAGAGTTTCTTCCGGTTCTCCCATGCGGGTTACAGGGCCACAAGCGCTGGGCCATCCGCTGCTGCCTTCCCAGGCCACTGGCAGAGAGCTGGATTAGAAGTGGAGCAGCTGGGACATAAATCAGCACCCGTAATGGGTACGAGCATTGTAGCTGGTGGCTGTACTCATCATGCCACACAACACTAGTCCTACAGATGAGGTACTATAAGAAAAATTCCTTCAGAAATACATTTTCATATAATGGTTCAAGTGATCAAGTTGCAAAATGCTAAAAAAAAAAATTTTAGATGTATAATTACTTTCCAGTGAAAGTTTATATTCTAATAAGGATAATACAATCTTCAAATAAAAATACTGCAATGCAAATTTAGTGCGTATTCTAGGATTAATAAAGCCAAGCACAAAAGAGACCAAGAATATTTTGGACTCCTGGCACATTTCATTAAGCTCTTACAAAGTTTGTAAGAAATTTCTACAAAGTTAAGAATTTCTACAAAGACAGTAAGAACAACATTCCTTGGACCCCGGCGGCAGTGACCTAGCAGCTAAAGTCCTCGCCTTGGACGCGCCAGGATCCCATAGGGGAGCCGATTCTAATCCCGGCAGCTCCACTTCCCATCCAGCTCCCTGCTTGTGGCCTGGGAAAGCAGTTGAGGACGGCCCAAAGCTTTGGGATCCTATACCCGTGTGGGAGACCTGGAAGAAGTTCCTGGATCCTGGCTTCAGATAGGAATAGCATGGGCCGTTGAGCTCACCTGGGGAGTGAATCATTGGACAGTAGATCTTCCTCTCTTTCTCTCCTCCTCTCTGTATATCTGACTTTGCAATAAAAATAAATAAATCTTTAAAAAAAAAGGGAACATTCCTTGTACAAAAAAAAGCAAAACATATAAGCAAAGATCAAGGTAAACAGGCATGCAGCATGTTCAAAAAGATTAATTACTCATGTGGCTAAAAATAGGATATACACAATAAAATAATAATGATAAAGAAGCAAAAGGCCGTAACGATTTTGCTGGAGTCATGCAATCATCCAAATTTTGAAGAATTTTAAATAGTTGGGTTTTTTTTCTGCCCACGTGGAATGCCATTTCTGCCATTACTGCAGCACTGTGGCACTTCTTGACCTGTTGTGCCAGAGCACTGACCCCAAAGTCCCTTATTTAATCTTTGTGTTAAGTGGTAAGGTGGGGCGGTTATTATCTCTTCCGTTTTACAGATAAGGATATTGAAGTCCCGATAGGTTCTACATACACTCCTTAGGCTGCTTCAGTTTCATATTTTAAATAAGAAATGGTTACTTTGGATCCTCTAACATGTCTCTTAGTAGGGACTGACTAGATTGAGAAACTCGATCAAACTACTAGAATCAAGGGAAATAATCTTTCACCGGAAAGCCTAATCTCAATCAATAAAATAAACACAACTTTAAGGGGAAAAAAATTAGTTGTATGCGTAAAAATTAGTTGAAGCGTATTTGACCTGGAGGTCCACATACCTCTTGGGAGGCCATCATCCCATAATTTTAAAGTGCCTTGGCTCAGCTTCCTGCTGCACTCTGGATTCCTAATGCAGATCCTGGAAAGCAGTAGGTCATGACTAGCCGGGCTCCCGCCACCCACGAGGCAGACCCGGCCTGAGTTCCTTACTCTGGGCTGTAGTCTGGCCGAGCCCTGGCAGTTGGGGACATCTGGGAAGTCAACCGGCAGAGGGAAGCTCTCTAATAAAATGTAAGTTAAACATTATGGAGTTAGCAGTGTGATTTAATTTGGGATAGACCGAAAGCACAAAGCCCCTACTGCTACAGTCCCAGGTCCTGGCGATAGGGAGAGAGGCAAGAAGCAAATCAGCTGTGTAAGTAGAACAAACACCTAGGAGGAAGGTGATGATCACAAATACACACTTGGAAATCGCCCCCGGCTGAGAGGAAACAGCCTGAGTTTACCACAGTCAGGACACCACGACGCGCAAACTACGAAATGAACATCTCTAACAACCAGTTGAATGTTGGTTCTCAAGACCAAAAGACTGAACTCCGGTTCCATTTTCCAGTCCTGAATTTAAGAAAGCATTAAGAGGCACTATGAGCAGGGGGCTGCCTCGGAACGCTTGGCAAAGCCACGAAAGCCAAGTGACATTATGCACCAACCTTTCAGAACCGAGAGGCCATCCTTTCCCTCTCACACAACACACGCCTCCACCTGCCTGGAGGGCAAGCTCAGGCCGCTGCAACAACCTTTGCTTTCCTAGCAGCCTTACCAAGGGCAGCCTTTCCATCCCTTGAAGTCCCCGCGGCTACCGGAGCACGGAAGGGTCCGTCCACACTGCCGGGTTCCACAGCGACTGGGAGCTGCCCCTGCTCCCCGGGCCAGAGCCCCGGGCTCCCAGGCACACAGGGCGGTTTTCATCTGTTCGACACACCCCTCTCCTCGGGTCCCGTTTCCTCCTCCACCCAGCACATTCCGCACGTCGCCCCGCGGCATTGCACCGCGTCGCTGCACCGGCTCCCCGACCCCGGGGCTCAGCCAGGACCTGAGGTCTCCTACCCCGCAGCCTGGCCGCAGGAGCTCCTCACTCACCTTCCCCGCAGCTCCTCCGGCAGCCCGCACAGGGGGCCGCGGCTCAGCCACGCCGGGCGACCCAGGCTGCCGAGCCGGCCGGGTCCGCCGCGACCGCCGAGCCGCAGCGCCGCCACCTCCCGCCGCGGCCGCCGTGGCTGTTGCCAGCTCGGTGCAGCTCAGGCGTTTCCGGGTTCCCGCGGTCCCGTCCCCCAAATGCTCCGGCTTCCGCCCGGGCCCCGGGTAAACACCGTTCCTGGCTCGGCTTGGACGGCCCGTACTCCGCACCGGCCAGGTTCCGACCCTGAGCCCGCGGTGACCGCTCGAGGCCGGGTCCTCCTGCGGCGCGCCCCCTGTGCCGGCTCCGCTGCCGCCAGACCCCTGGGGCCACTGCTTCTTGGTGGACTCCCCCACGAGGGGACAAGGCAGAGGGAGTGACTCCCCGCGAGCTCCTGCGGGACTGCCTGGACGCCGAGGGTGCCTTTTGTGACTAGTTGCTAAAGGACAAAGTCCTTTGGGGCAAAGGACCCTGAGAACGAGTGGGGAGGCGGATCGTGGAAGCAAATGAACACGCTTCTGAAAATGTCAGTGACCTAAAAACAAGTAAGATTCGCTGCGGCCTACGCTGCCAACCAGTAGTCTAAATGTCTGCCCCCACCCTGACACCTTAAGGCTGAGGGAATCCTAAAGTGGTGCCACAGGTGGGCATGGTGCCGTTAAACAACAGCAGCAAAAGGAAAAAGAAAAAAAAAAGGTAGAGAGAGAGCCGAAGCTCCCGGAGTTAACCCCCTTGTGGTTGCATGAATCCATGCCACATTTTTATTGACTTATTTATTTGTAAGACAGAGAGGGGACTGGTTCATTCCCCATCTGTCAGCAGCAGCAACCAGGGCTGGGCCAAGTAGAAATCAGGAGGTCAGAATTCAGTCCGGGGCTTTCCTGTGGGTGGCAGAAATCCAAGTAGCATACCGTGACCTGCTCCCTGCCGGGCTGTGCTTTAGCAGGTATCAGAAGTGGGAGTGAAGCCAAGGCTACAACCGTCGCACTCCAGGCTGGACAGGTATTCATTACCGTTTTTCCCACACCACTGCCGGTTAAAGGCCCTGCTCTATCCTAGTTGAGAATCCTCCAGCCTCTGCAGCCCTTCTGGCAATGGGCAGACTCAAATGAATATTCTCGGTTTAGTTTGATGATCAAATTACAGAACAAGATAGTCCCTTTCCTGTTCAAACATGGCTGCTATCAGTTAACCCGATGGCCTGTGGATATTGCCAATGATGAAATCTATGCCCAAGAGACATACTTAGAAAAAAAGAGAAAGCTGAAAATATTCTATTGCAATGAAATAATTGGCTTTAATTTTTTTTTCTGTTAATCTCTTGAGATAATTCACGAGTGGTAAAATCTGTATTGGAACTTAATACTTGTTCAGATGTGTTTTTTTATTTTACAGATTTATTTATTTATTCAAAAGTCAGACATTCAGGGAGAGGGAAAGATGGAGACAGAGAGATCCTGCATCTGCTGGTTCACTCACCTGATGGCTTTAATGTCTGAGATGGGTCCATCCAAAGCCAGGAGCCAGGAGCTTCTTCCAGGTCTCCCACGCGTGTGGCTGTACCTTCCCAGACACCCATGTGCAATGCCAGAGTCTTGGGAAGTAGCTTAACCTACTATGTCACATTGCTAGCCCCTATAAATGCATTTCTTAGAAAAAAGAAAGATATTTCCGTTTGTTCAGAAAGTGTTGAAGTGAAAAAGAATGAGTAGTGGAAGCCATTCTAATTATGATACAGTAAAATACACTTTGTTGCCTTGAATAGGCATGACACTAAAAATGATGCCCCCCCCCCAAAAAAAAGCACTATTCAAACAAAGCAACAATGAAAATAGAGGGCCAAATGTAGGGGGCCTACAGATGATGACGTGTGTAGTGGAGTGAGCCCCAAAGCTACCAATCAAAAGAAAGTAATACTTTCATGAGCCTTTTATACATGAGTTGCTTTGAGTTCTCCCAAATGTACCACTCATAGTACGGATTCTCATTCCTTTCATCATGTCATTCGCTAAGTGCAGAATACTTTTCCTCACTTTTTTTTATTGGTCCTACCCAACTGTTAGCTCTCTGTTTGAATATCAATGTTGCAAACTTGAAGCATTTTTCAGCCCTCTTCCTCATATGAGTAGAACCCCTCTGTGCTGTCATAGCATCGTGAAGCATCCTGTGTGTATCCAGGTAACTGTACGTCATTGTGTTGTGACTCTGTTTTCTATCGTCTTGAACCAACGTATTGTCTCTATCGTCTTGGAGTTGATGCTACTCTGTCTGTTATCTCTAGAACCTCACTACAGTGCCTAGCACATAGAAATTCAATTTACATATTAAGTGTTTGTCATTTTTTATTTGTTTAAAAGGCAGAGCCACACAGAGAGAAATCTTCCATCTTTTATTACACTCCCCAAATGCACACAGCATCTGGGCCTGAGCCAAGTTGCTGCCAGCAGCCAGGAACTCCAGTGAGGTCTCCCAAATGGGTAGCAGAGCCCCAAGTGCTTGGACTTTCATCTGCTGTCTATCAGGGTATGCATTAGTAGGAAAACTGTTGGGAGGCAGGGGTGGGACTCAACCCAAGCACTGTGACATAAGACAAGGGTGTCTGGACTAGAAACCTAACTCAGTGTGCCACACACAGCTTCAGTATGTACTTAGACTAAGCTGAACATTAGGCAATGCTTGATGTCCCAGATAGTGCAGAGATTTATACAGCTCGCTAAGGAAAAAAGGTCAGTTAGGCCTGAACCACAACTCTGAGTATCCAGTTCTCAAGTTAGTACCTATGGCCTGAAACCCACTTCGTAATACTCATCCTATTATCCTTGAGCGGTTAGCCTGCATAACCGCCTTTAAGTTTTCACAACCCATAAAGTAAGCACTATGAAAAGGAGAAACCAGCTTCCAGACATTAAGGAAATGACTTAAGTTCTAGTACTGAACCATGAACTGGAATTGAAATCCTTATTTGTCAACTTTTAAAGTTCATACTTTACCATTTATTTATTTGTGCTAGGAAAGCAAATGTACAGAGAGGAGGAGAGACAGAGAGAAAGATCTTCTGTCCGATGGCTTACTCCTCAAGTAGCCGCAACAACTGGAGCCAAGCCAATCCAAAGGCAGGAGCCTGGAGGTTGCTCCAGGGCTCCCACATGGGTGTAGGGTCCCAAGGCCTTGGGCCGTCCTCAACTGCTTTCCCCAGCCACAAGCAGGGAACTGGATGGGAAGTTGAGCCGCCGGGATTAGATCCATCACCCATATGGAATCCAGGCACATCTAAGGCAAGGACTTTAACCACTAGGCTATCACACCAGACCCCAAAGCCCATACTTTAAAACACCGTACCTAGCTGCCATAGGAATTAAAAGTGGGACAGACGAGGAATGAGGGGCCTGGAGCAGTAGTCTCGTGGCCAAAAGTCCTCACCTTGCATGCACCGGGATCCGGTAAGGACTCTGGTTCTAATCCTAGCAGCAGTTCCACTTCCCATCCAGCTTGTGGATGGGAAAGATTTCCCTGTTTGTGGCCTGGGAAAGCAGTTGAGGTGGCCCAATGCCTTGGGACCCTGCACCCGCATGGGAGACATGGAGGAAGTTCCTGGCTCCTGGCTTTGGATCAGCGCAGCACCATCTGCTGCGGTCACTTGGGGAGTGAATCATCAGATGGAAGATCTTCCTTTCTGTCTGTCCTCTCTGTGTATCTGACTTTGCAATAAAAATAAATAAATCATAAAGAAACAATATTTGAAACATTTTTTTAAATGTGTTGGTGATCAGTAATCAACTGAATTTAATTGAGTGTCCTGTTATTTTTGTTATATCTAGATATGGTATAGAAGACATGAATAAGAAAATAAAGTTACATCAGACACTCTCTGTGGCAAAGTTAACACTGCAATCACTATGTACACAAAGTGACATTGCATTGACCAGTATCTTTAGGCAGAGCCAGGGTAGTTTAGGAACTTCAATGGTTTAAGGTCAGAGGTTAGAAAACTCAGTAAGACAGAAGAGGAAAAAAGTGAGAAGAAGAAGGCAGGACTGTATGCAGAATTTTCTTCTGGAGGATTTCTGTCCCAAGCTATTAAAATATAAAAAGAGAATATCAGTGCTTACAGAATTAAACCACAGGTTTCCAGATGTCATTCGCTAAACATTTTGTTCCTATACTGGGGTAGTTTTTAGAATTATTAAAATTACAGCTCCAGAACAAGAAAAACCAGTTTGTTCTTTCAAGCTACCAAACCGGGTGGAATCTAGCTGGCTCTTCTTAGTTCTTCTAGAAAAAGAACTAATTTGTAAAAGAAACTGAAAAAGATAGTCAGAGATTATCTAAATGTCTGGCATTTGCCTCTCAGGACCTGAATTAGTTACTTTGATAGCAATAGCTCAGCAGCCATGTGAGCCTCAAGTTTTGAAACGCATTTGGGGGTATGAGAACACTTCCCTGTCTAGTCTTCCTCCTGCTCGGAAAGGTCCTCCAGGCCCCCGGCTTGGCTTTTGCTGTTGTAGCAGGCTTACTCCCGGGGTAAGTCAGGGGCAGGAGATGCTTTCCTGAACTCTAAGATTCCTTCCTTTCCAAGTGTATTCAGAAACCCCTCAGGAGTGCTACCCCAGGGGGTTGCTGTTGACTCTGCTTAAGGCTCCAGTTTCTCCCTGTTGCTCTTAAGTCCTTGTCAAATCAAGGAACTGGTTTTATCTGAGTCAAGGTTAAACATAAAGTACTAGGGACATCTGAAAAAAAAAAAAAAAACAACCACTGTTAAGTTCTTTTGTTAAAGTGTGAGGCTGGGCTCTGTGCTGAGCCCTAGCGCCTAAAGTCCTTTCCTTGAACACACCAGGATCCCATTTGGGTGCTGGTTCTAATCCCAGCAGCTCCACTTCCCATCCAGCTCCCTGCTTGTAGCCTGGGAAAGCAGTTGAGGATGGCCCAAAGCCTTGGGACCCTGCACCCGTGTGGGAGACCTGGAGGAACTTCCTGGCTTTGGATCGGCGCAGCACTGGTTGTTGCGGTCATGTGGGGAGTGAATCAATGGACAGAAGATCTTTCTCTCTGTCTCTCTTCCTCTCTGTATATCTGACTTTCCAATAAAAATAAATTAAAAAGAAAGAAAGAAAGTGTGAGAAAGGTACATACTATCTGCTT